TAAATGGAGAAAAGACTGAAGTTTTCAAAGACTTCACATTACTTCGTTCTAGAATCAACACCAATGGAAGCAGCAGTCAAGATATCAGACGTCGTATAGCATTGGGCAAATCTGCTGCAAAGGACCTCTTTCAAGTGCTGAGGAGCAAAGATGTTTCCCTGAACACTAAGGTGTTCTTGATACAAGCCATGGTATTTTAAATCGCCTCATATGCATGTGAGAGCTGGACAATGAATAAGGAAGACCGAAGAAGAGTGAATGCTGTTGAGTTGTGGTGTTGACAAAGAATGCTGAAAGTTACCATGGACTGCTAAAAGAACTAACAAATCTGTCCTGGAAGAAGTGTAGCTGGAATGCTCCTTGGAAGCAAGAATGGCCAAACTTCATCTTACATACTTTGGTCATCTTATAAGAAGGGGTCATTCACTGCAGAAGGATATGCTCAGTAAAGTGGAGGGACAACGAAAAAGGGGAAGGCCCTCAATGAGATGCATTGACACAGTGGCTGAAACGATGGACTTGGGCATAGCAAGGATCTTGGGGCTGGCACAGGACCAGGCAGTGTTTTGTTCTGCTGTATATGAGGTCACTAAGAGTAGGAGACGACTCGACAGCACCTAACAACAACCACCTAACTTCATAAACCAAAAAACCAAACCCATTGCTGATAGTGGATTTAATCTCATAGAGACCCTATACCAAACCAAACCCACTGCCATCGAGTTGATTCTGATTCACAGCAACCCTCATTGGGTTACCGAAGCTGTCAATCTTTACGGAAGTAGATTGCCCCATCTTCCTTCTACAGAACTGCTGGTGGGTTTGAACCACTGACCTTCTGGTTAGCAGACAAATGCCTTATCCACTATGCCACCAGAGCTCCTTAGAGACAACCCTGTAGGATAGAGTAAAACTTCCCTATTGACAGCCTATAGGGTTCCCAAGGCTGTCAATCTCTGCTGAAGCAGACTGACACATCCCCTCCCTGCCCCCAAGGGGCTGATGGGTTTGAACCACTGACCTTTTGGTTAGCAGTCTAGCACTTAAGCATGGTGCTACCAGGGCTCCTTCACCTAACTTAATAACATCAAAGAATCATCTGGAGCCCTGCTGCCTTTTTTTTTTTTTTTTTTTAAATATATTTTATTGACAATTTATGTACAGTGAAATACACAAAACTAAAGTGACATGGGTCAACGGATTTTTTTTCTTTTTGTAATGTTCCCTCCCCTCCTTTCCCACCCCTGGTAGCCAACAAAGAAATTTCCTTTCATATGTAAACCTTTCCTTCACTTTTTATCATAATGAACTAATACTATCCTTGTCCTTCTGTGATTGACTTATTTCACTCAGCATCATGTCCTCCAAGTTCATCCACATTATGCGGTGTTTTGCAGATTCTGTATTATTCTTTCATGTTGCATAGTATTCCATTGTGTGTATGTACCATACTTTGATTATCTATTCTTCTGTTGATGGGCACGTAGGTTGTTTCCATATTTTTGCTATTGTAAATAGTGCTGCAATGGACATGGGTGTGCATATATCTGCTCTTGCCCTGGCTGTCATTATTTAGGATATATACCTAGTAATAGGATTGCTGGGTCAAACAATATTTCTAATTCCAGCTTTTTAAGGAATCACCATACTGCTTTCCACAGTGGTTGTATCATTTGACAGTCCCACCAGGAGAGTATGAGAGTCCCAATCTCTCCACATCCCTGCCAGCATTTGTTATTTTCTGTCTTGTTGAACTTTGCCATCAGTGCTGGGGCGAGATGGTATCTCATTGTTGTTTTGATTTGCATCTCTCTAATGGCTAATGATTGTGAGCATTTCTTCATATATTTGCTGGCCGCCTGAATATCCTCTTTGGTGAAGTGTCTATGCATGTCTTCTGCCCATTTTTCAATTGGATTGTTTGTGTTTTTGTTGTTGAGGTGTTGGAATTTTGTATAAATTCTAGAGTTAAGTCCCTTGTCAGATATGTCATTGCCAAATATTTTTTCCCAATCTGTAGGTTCTCTTTCAACACTTGGAGAAGGCTTTTTATTTTTTTAATTAATTAATTAATTTTTATTTGGGTGAAGATTTACAGAGCAAATTCACTTTCCATACAGCAGTTCACATACACTTTGTCTCATGTCATTGACCACAGTTTACCACAATGGATCCATACAGCAGTTCACATACACTTTGTCTCATGTCATTGACCACAGTTTACAACAATGCAACAGCTCCCCTCCCACTTCCTCCCCATAGTTACCTCTTCCCAGTGACCATCCCTCCATACTCTCCTGCGCCCTGAG